AAAACAACAACCAACCCCCCAACAACAACCCCAAAACCCAAACAAACAAACAACCCGCCCCACCAAACCTTCCACCGGGCTCTAACAAAACCCCGATGGAACAAACACCGTGTCTGGGAGAATAAATTAATCCCTCTTTAACCAGCCTGACTCGGGGCCCGGGTGACGGAGGGAGCTTGTTTTCTTTTAAAATAGGACGCGAGCGGGCCGGATTTCTGTAAAAAAACTGGCAAAACGCTAACGGTGATGGGGAGGAATAGGGACGGTGGAGCGTGCAACCCCTCCCTTTGCCAACTGAGTCACAATTTTTCCCCCCTTCTGTCTGCGAAAGGCAGACTTAAAAACACCCGCTGTTTATGTAATTCCCGAGAAAATCCAGTGTACTAAAAAAAAACAAAAAGAAGAATAAAATAATAATAATAAAAAGAAATCCTCCCCTGGCTTTTGTGAGCCCTTTCATGGCAGATTGTTGATGCCTCCTGCTTCTTTTTTTTTGTGGTGTTTTTTTTTTTTTTTTCTTTAAACTTAAAATGTGCAATTGCAGCAGCAGGGGGAAAAATAATAAATAAATAAAGCCCCCCCACATCACCTTTCTCAAGGTAAAATTCATCCTTTTTGTTGCACCATCCCAGCCGCTGGTCACTCCCTTACTCACTGTCCTCGGAATTAAACCCAAACCCAACCCGTGACACGAGTTTGAAAACCTGAGTTGAATGAATAAATCCGCCAAGAGTGAGCCCCGTTCCTTTAGAGACTGCAAAATTATTCCCTTGGAATGAGGGATGAGTCACTGGCTCGGGTGTTCTGTCTCTGAAAACACGCTGGGAATGTTCCCGGAGAGCCGGTACCGGGAGCTGGGCGCTGGGTTTTCCGCCTTTTTGGTGATGAAGGCGGGTGATGCCATCGAGTTTGGCTGAGGTCTCGAGAATTATTTCTCACTCTAGTGGGCAGTTGTGATTCGCACATAGGAAACTTCACGCTAAGAAGTTAATCTCCTTAGTTTAGGGCCATCTCCCTCCGAGTTGGGGCTGTTTTATCTCCTTTCTGCCTCCCCAGCTCACAGATGAGAGCTTTCCAGGGGAAATTATTTGTCGGCTGGCACTGTGGTATTGCAGCAACCTCTGTGAGAAATGCCAAGTAATACTTTGAAGAGTTTGTCCAGCTTCTTGCTGCTCGTCTCTAGTGTTGTGTTTTGGTTTGGTTTTTTTTTTGAAGGATACTCTATTTTGAAATGGCCATGTCACACTTGGATTTAGGAGTAGACTTTGCTGCTTTTAATTAAGAAGCAGTTCACTCTCCTAATGTATTTAGCTATGTGTGACTTGGAAGCATCTTCATAAAACTGATGTGGAAATCTTCCTCTTTTTTTTTTGTTTTTTGTTCTTTGGCTCCAAAGAATAAAGCTTAAAGACCTCACAATAAATGCTGAATATTGTTTCTTGAGTCATTTTGTTAAACCCAGTGATTTAGGGTGGCGAACATCCTAATGCACCTGGCAGAAAGTGCCGTTCAGAGACTCCTGATGGGACTTTAGTTTTTCTTCTTCCTGTTCTCATCCACAGCCTGTCAGCCAAGATTAGTTAAAACTAGTAACAAAAAGTGGATTTAAAAGCTCCTCCCGGGCCCCCTCTCCACTTAATAACAAGTGGAAGTGACTTGATACACGCTCATTCTTCACCAGGGGGGAGTTTACCGAGTGTGTGTTTCAGCTATGACAGGATTTCTAAGGAACAATTTAATACCCGGTGCGTAAAGTTGTAATTTTTAGCCAAGTGTCTTTAGAGGAGGTTGCAATGTCTTAATTTTAGTCTTGCTAGAGATGGGGTATGTGACTGTAAATTGCTCTTTCCAAATAAAGTTGTTTCATTGTGCTTAGGTGGCATCTCGATGCATTGTATCTTTTTAAAGAAACAAGTGTGAGACTGAATTAAGCAGCTCTTGTTCGGATATTATTAGTCCCCTGAAATGCATATTTTGAAAACCACTTTTAGTATCTGCTTGGAAAGTGAAAGTTGTATCTGTTAATGTGAGGAGGAATCATCCATCAAACGGAGTGCTCAAGATATGACTCATGCTAATTTGTTGCTCTCACATTAAGGCTGGAGCGCAAAAATATTTTAGCCTCTGGCATTGGAAGTTCACAGTGCCACATCCTACCACTCCAGGTCACGAATTGTAGTGGTTTTTGTTTATTGGCCCCCAGGAAAGAAAAAGATTAGTGATAGAATGAGGGTGTTTTGCACCAGAGCCTGTCCCAGGCAATCCAAATATCGCAAAGATGTTGACTTGACATTAATGCTGGGTCAAGTAAAACCGTGGTCTGTGCCTGAATAAAAATGACTCACGAGAGGCATGCAGCAGGTGCTGTCTCCCCTTCTCGAACAGGGAGTTAAAAAAAACCCCCACTGTCTGATCCTTTTTTAAAAGGCTTTAATGCAGCCAGCCCTTGGAAACTGAGGAATACTGCTTGTTGCAGAGAGGGGTTGTTAGAAAGACAGCACTGCTAATAATGCTGGCTATCTGGGAACCAAGATAAGCAGACTTACATAAGCAGCAGCTTCATGGCCTGCAGCCCTATGAATATACATTGTTTTATGTCCACTGTCTGTTGGTTCTGTAGGAATAAGTGCATCATTACCTTGAAGTGCTGACGATTCTTTAAGGCTTAAAAATATCCATAAACTGCATAAGTTTGAACCTCGTCCAAAGGATTTGGGCTCTCTATTATCCGATCTGCTAGCTCTGCCTTTGAAACTGTATCTCTGGAGCTATCCTTAGGTGCTCTTAAGTGTCTTCTGGTGCAGTTTAACAACATTGTTCAATGCTTATTTAAAGTTGGCTGTAAAACATTTCAGAATTTTCTTAAAATTGAACCTCTGCTCAAGCACTCAGCTTGCTTAATACTGTACTTTCAGTGTGTGTTGTACATACTCTATTCTTTTTAGGCAATGTAGATTCTCAAATCACCTTTTCAAACCATGGAAAAGAAATGGTTGAAAATCCACAGTTGTCATTGAAGTCTGGCAAAAGTTTGCTGGAGAGGCTGGAGCTTGTGTTGTGCCCTGGTTCCGAGCCCTGCCCTCACTCCTCAGCAATCCCTGCTGCACAGCAGCCCCCAGGGCTGTGGTTTGAGGTGGCTGCTGTGGCAGGGCACAGTGTGGCCATGCTCAGCTTACCTGTTGCATCCCAAACTTTGGCACAGATGGGACATAAAATGCAGATAAAAGTGGGTGGGCTGGCCTTGCTCCTAATGATTCCCACTAGTTTTGTCTCTCGTTGTCATACCAAGCTCGGCTTTCTCCCGTGAGCCGTTTTCCTGTCAGATGGGCTCGGAGTGTTAGGGAGCACGTATTCATACCCACATGGGTTAGTGTTTGTATCCGCTGGTGGCTTTTTTCCAAAGATCATTGACATCATGCTCCTGAAAAATGAGAGGCTAAGGTTCTGCAGGGCTAGTGCAGTGCTGGGGGAGGCAGGAGCCCCCCTGCACTGAGAGGCTGCAGTTGCTCCTGCTGTGGGCAGGGACAAAGTTGCTGGGGCTTGGATACAACTAAGAAAAAGTCCCAGAGTGAGCTTCTAGAAATACTGACTTCTCCAAAGGAAAACAGGCTCTTGTAGGAAGAGTATTTGAGTGTATTTCATACAGCTGTCCATCCTCAACCAATGTAAAAGTAGACGATTTGGGGGGTTGCAGGCCAGCACAGCATTGTATTCAGCTCTCACAGCCTCAAGTCATGTTATTTTGTGAAGGAAACCGTAGGGATGAAGTCCTGGAAGGCTGCAGTGCTGATCTAATGGGAATGCAAGTTTCCCCAAACTCAGCTTCAGACCTGGCACGTTAATAACGAGACTGATTTAAAACTGGTCCGATGAGACCGAGGCACATCTTGAATACAGATGCACTTAAACTGGCTTAAGGTGCTGGAGTGATTTATTTTAATGCTCCATTAGGCTGAATTGGTCTGTGTGGTTTCTAAACCACTTTGAATTTGTATCTGCTAGGGTTTTGTCCCAGTCTGACTGGATGATTTTTAATAACAGTGTTTTTCTGCCTTAGAATAAACAATACCTAATACAAGCATGGTGTAGGGCAGCCTGTAGCAGTGCAGGCTGCAGCTCAGCTGAGCAACGCTTGCCGGGACACGCTCCTGGGGGGTCCCCCTCTGTCTCTTCCCGTTAGCTTCTCCCACTGATTCAGAGTCAGTTGGTATCAGCTGTTTTGAAACAGCTTTGAGGTGTTTTGTTTATTTCCTCCCCCTGCCGTATTTTCTGCCATCTCTAGATGTCCATCAGAGCGTATTGATCAGCTGCTCTTCCCCTCACAAAGTAGCTGCTGATGAAAAGAAAAAGAACATGTCGCTATTCTTAATAGTTTCCAGACTCAAAAGAGCACAGTGGTCAGTGGGAACTTGGCTAAATATAGAAATGTGGCTTTAGACAGCCCTCGGTTGGAGTTGCTTTGGTTTCAGTGCTAACACAGTGGCATGAACACCTTGTTTAAATAAGACGCTTTATCGCATCCTGGCTCTCTCTGGCTGCAGTTTAGTTTTCGGTGTGCACCAAGCTCAGTTTAAAGGTGGGGCCTGATTTTGCAACTCCCCTCAGTACATTCATACACTCCCAAGATAGTCCCAAGGTGGCACCTGATATGATCATTAGCAAAACAGGTTATCTGTTATGTAAAGATCAAACGCTGTGTTAGTAAGAGATCTGACAAGCACCTCCTTGTTTTCCATAAGAAGTGTTGCCCTCCGGAAACTTAATCATTATTTGATTGTTATGATGTGTGTCTTCCTACACTTCCCACAGAATCTGCACAGCCAGTGCATTTAAAGCGTGCGTGGTTTATCCTGTCCAAAACCAAAAATTATGTAACCTTTTCCAGTTGTTACTTCAATGGCTTTTGGTCTAGAACGTGCTTTCCTGTAGTTTGTGAATGTTCTCATCGTGTCAGAGTGAGCACCCATCAATGGAATTTAAGTGTGAATGTTTGGTTTTAGGCACACGAAGCCTCACATCACCAACAGCAGGCAGCACAGAACAGTTTGTTGCCTCTCCTGAGCTCTGCTGTTGAGCCACCCGATCAGAAGCCGATTCTGCCCTTACCAATAACGCAGAAACCTCAACCTGCACCAGAAACATTAAAGGATGCTATTGTTGGGATTAAAAAGGAAAAACCTAAAACCTCCTTTGTGTGCACTTACTGCAGCAAGGCTTTCAGGGACAGCTACCATTTGAGGCGTCACGAGTCCTGCCACACAGGGATAAAGTTAGTGTCACGGCCAAAGAAAACTCCCACCACAATGGTGCCCCTTATCTCGACCATCGCTGGTGACAACAGCCGAAGTTCACTGGTTTCCACGATCGCGGGCATCCTGTCCACAGTCACTACGTCTTCCTCTGCCACCAACCCCAGCAGCAGCGCCGGCGCCACGGCCATGCCAGTGACTCAGACCGTGAAGAAGCCCAGCAAGCCCGTGAAGAAGAACCACGCTTGTGAGATGTGCGGAAAGGCCTTCAGGGATGTCTACCACCTCAACCGGCACAAGCTGTCCCACTCCGATGAAAAACCCTTTGAATGTCCAATTTGCAATCAGCGCTTCAAGAGAAAGGATCGCATGACCTACCACGTGAGGTCTCACGAAGGTGGCATCACGAAACCCTACACCTGTGGTGTTTGTGGAAAAGGCTTCTCGAGGTACCATGTAGAAAATCCCAGGCGAGCTCAAGTATTGGCTTTTCGTAACCAAGAAGGGTTAAGCTATCATAGCGAGGGGCTAGGAGAAACAGACATCTTAGAAGATTGGTGAGGGGATTAAAGAGCCTTGTTTACCTCTAGGGCGTGGGTCTTGATGTGAGCCAGATTGGCAGTGGCCAAAAGTGGTCTCTCTTTTATGAGAATGAAGTGGTTTCATGACCTTAATCCAGGTCCTGTAGGACACGTGTCCGTGTCTCTGGTGGTGACCACTGAGCCCCTTTACCAGCCTTGGCAAAGGTCAGTGACCAAACAGGGCATGGCAGGCAAATTGTCTCCGTGTTTTGAAGCAAGGTTGAGCTGAACTGACAGAGCACTGTGGGGGAGCCTGCACTGCTGCTGCCTGTATTTATATCTGCGCTTCAACAGCGAAAACCTCAACCTTTAGAGCTGTTGTTCTGTCACCTTTACACAAGGTACGACCAAACGTACCATTTTCAGGTGTGTGAGAAACACATGGATAAGTTTTAAACTACAGGTTTGGTCTCAGTGTACCTATGTGTTCCTGTAGCTGAAAGGCACTGCGTAGGTACCAGGAGTGTATTTATTCTGGCTGTGCAGTGGGTTGTGGGCTGGGAGGGGTCACCAGCACGGTGTTCAGCACCCCCAGCCAAGGTGTCTGCTCTATGTATTTGTAACAGTGCATTTTCTTTCCTGTTCCTCTGGTTTTTTTGCAGGCCTGATCATTTAAGCTGTCACGTTAAACACGTTCACTCAACAGAGAGACCCTTCAAATGCCAAGTAAGGGCTAAAATTATTTATTAGGAACAATACGTTATTTCATTCTTAGAATCTCAGGTGAATAATCTTTCCAGAGAGGTATTTGCTTCTGGACTTTTCTTTGAAAAGCAAGTACAGCAACTAAGTCTTATCCACTGAGTGCTGATATAAGTGCAGAAACAGTTTAAAAGGATCCTGGGGCTACTTTTTTAGGACTTTCAGAGGTTTTTTCCTTCTTTTGGAAACAGTGTAGTGCTCTGTTTCATGATATGCTTAACTTAGAGAAAGGATTCTAACAGCATCCTCCACTCAGTGCTGATTACAGGGTAACTTGTGCAGTGTGTTTCTCAGCATATTCAAATTAAATGTCTCCTTGTATATCCATTTAAAATGGATTGGAATTGTTGATTGTGGATCCGTTATTTTGCTGGAAGGCAAAAGTAAGTTGTAGTAAGTTGATGACTTGAGTACAAGAGAAATAACTGGACTGCCCTTCAACAATTAACTGTTTTCTTTGGAATATCCATACTTGTTCCAACCTGCTTTTAAGTGACTCATCGTTTAAACAAAGAGTCTTGTGTAGAAAGAATAAGTGTTAGAAAAAGGTTTTATTTCCTTGTTCTGATTGAGCAATGTAAGACATCAGGCTCATGTTTGGAAAACTGTATCAAATACCTTTTTTTTATAAGCTAACTCTTGCTTTGTTAGGTGAGGCACCTCAGTATTGTAAGAAAGTTCAGTCAGTATCAAGTGTGATTTCTATCCTGATTGTCTCAGAAACCAACTTCCATTTTCAGTCTCTGTTTCGTAGATCGATTTTGGTTTCGCTATAAACACAATTTAAAACTTGAGGCTGTCTGTCTCCTTCGGGTGCTGTTTGCACCCAGGAGGCACAGCAGGCTCATAAAGGGCATGTAGTTCAGACTGTAGTGCTGCTGTCTGCCCTTCATGTGTAACTTGTTGTCCTTCATCTAGACGTGCACTGCTGCCTTTGCCACCAAAGACAGACTGCGGACACACATGGTGCGCCATGAAGGAAAGGTATCGTGTAATATCTGTGGTAAACTTCTGAGTGCAGCATATATCACCAGCCACTTAAAGACACACGGGCAGAGCCAAAGTATCAACTGTAATACCTGTAAACAAGGCATCAACAATAAAAGTAGGTGAACGTTTTAAAAACATTTCTGATAACAATGTGTTTGCAAAGGGGATTGCCTGTGATTCGGTTAAAATGAGGAAACGTCCCCCCCCCCAGTCTGGGTGTTCAAGCCTCTTAAAAATATAGATTTGATAACAGGATCTTCTCCAGCTCAAGAATTTGCATTTGTGGAATTGGTTTGCTGCTAGACTGTGCTCTTATCCCTTAGGAATGACCTGCATTGTGAGAATAAGCCATCTTTTAAAGAAGAGGGTTCCCAAGTTTCAGATTTGAATCCCCATCTAAAGCTCATCAGAATTAGGAGAAAGATTTCTCTGCTTTTTCTGAGCTTTGACCATAGGGTTCAGTGATTCCTCCTTCTGGCAGTAGCTGGCAAGAAAAGCATTTAAATCCAGCCCTGATATGTTTTGGGCATTAATGGCATTTGACTGGCAGTGTGCAGGAGTTCAAGTGAGATGTTTGTAATAGTTCCTTCTAGTCTGAAACTCTGTGGAAGTCCTGAAGCCTGGGCCTGGGAGTGCCTAGTAAGCAAATGAAAACTTGACTTTCAAATCTTCCCCATTAAAATACCTGTAACTTAAGGTACCCTATATGGTGGGTGATAGGAGTTTTCAGAGGAATCAAGAGGGAGAAGTAAGGCATGTCTTTGGAATCTTTGTCCTTAAAGCCTTTTAAATAGTTTTAGTTTAAAACATCTTTGCATTTCCTGTTACTCCTGGATAATTTGAAGGTATTGGGAACGTCTACAATGCTTGATTGTTTGGTTTAATATAAAATTTGGGTGTGAAGTATTTTTCGAGGTACAGGCTGACAGCTCTGGCTTCCCAAGCAATTTGGTGGTGCTAAGCCAGTTCATGTGAGGCATGTGCAGCAGTTGTTAGAGGTGGAAGTGATGAGCTGTAATGTGGCCAGAGAGTAGTAACATGTTGTTCTGTTATCTTAAGGTAAACTGAATATTTTAGAGTCATGCTTACAACAAAAAGTAAAAAGGCTTTTTTTTTTTTTTTTCCTTCTAAACTGAAGTTGATGTTTAGTGAAATCTGCTCACCAGCCTCAGGTCTAGACACTCACTGTTGTCTTTATTTCATTCTTTCTAAAATACAAACAAAATAATCAGAAAAAAAAATAATTTTGGCAGTGAAAGCAGATGTTCCTGACTTAACATTTTGGTTTTTAGATCTTGGAAAAGTGGTTTTATAAAACACAGAATTAATGATATGGTTTTAAACAGCTTTGTGAGTTTTGCTCTTGGAATCCTGTGAGATTCCACACAATCTTTATGGAAAGCCTTTGTCATCTCAGCAGAAAACAGTAACTTTTCAAGGTGAATTTGTGTTCTTACTTAATTGGCATAGCATGCATGAGTGAAGAGACCAGCAATCAGAAGCAGCAGCAGCAGCAACAACAGCAGCAGCAACAACAGCAACAACAACAGCAACAGCAACAACAGCAGCAGCAACAGCAGCAGCAGCAACAACAACACGTAACAAGTTGGCCTGGAAAGCAGGTAGAGACCCTGAGATTATGGGAAGAGGCCGTCAAAGCAAGGAAGAAAGGTAAAACAAAACAATACTTTTGGTCTTGGTTTGATAAGATATTGGAGTTTACAGTTATGTAGGGAGATTAAGATGGCAGGAAAGGGTGTCTTACCTGAAACATTCTATTGTTGATGTTACAAGTAATAGCTTAAAATTAGCAGGAGGATACCATGACCAAAATCAGGCTGCTGCAGATGAGCTCCTTATTGCTTGCTTCCCTTTGGCCTTTCTGCTCGAATGTGGATGTAGCACTCATCAATTATAAAGGGATGTTTGTGTCTGCTCCAAGGCAAGAGTCTATTTTTCTGACTTGCATGTGGTTTTTAGCTGTGTTTATGCATACTTACCAGCTGTTACCTTGTGTACATGTATATATGTGTATATATACACACAAACAACACCCTCTGTGGTAACATCATCACCAGTTTGCATGTGGGTGCTTTCTGTGTCCCTTTCATCTTTTCTCTCCCAATTTATTCCATTCACATTATGATCACATAACTGTCTTTGCTTAAAGTTTTCTAGAACTCATAGAACTTACTGTTTTATATCTCTGGGCTTTCTTTCATTACCAAATTTAACTAATCAGTGATAGTGTTTTCATGATTGCTAGCTCACATCTACCTGTGCTACTGTAGTTGAAGCTGAATAACTTCCTGTCCTTGGTCAGTGTGGCAATTTTGTGAAGAACATATTGCTTCAATTTAGTGTTGTTAGGAGTATAGTAGTTTAAAGTCTTCCATTACTTCTAGCTTATTCTTTTCAAAACAGTTTGATTTCCAATGCTATCATGTGACTCTCCTGGATTACATACTTTAGGAGAAATTCTTAGTGACCACTTACTGTTTTTCACTAGTTGTTTTTGTAATAAATGTTTCTGACTCACTTTTTTTTTTCCTCTTTTCTCCTAATCTTCCTTTCAGTTTCCTCACTCTTCTTCTTTTCTAGGTCTTGTTTGTGCATTAGGCTGCTAGCTCCTTTTGCTTTGTTATTTCAATTGAATTGAATTCTGTGATCAGACAGTATAGAAACAGCTTATTCATGTTCAATTGTAGCAATGACAGAAATACTAAATATCATCAGGCCACTAAATGGATTAAGCAAATGGGTGTCAGGTTGAGAATATGTCTGAGAATTTTTTTTCCTGCTTGTTTCTTTCTGTGTCTTGTTCCCTCTTTCCTTCCTTTCTTACTGAGATTATTGAATATGCTTTAATACAAACACTGGGTCTGGACAGAGAGGTGGGTGGGGAGAAATGTTGTGAGACTGATGATACTAGTTTAACTTCACTGGGGAAGGGGTGTGGGTGGGATGTGTCTTCGTGTAGCTCAGTCAGTGCCAGGCCTGGGTGCTGCTCTTTCCATGCTGGTTTTCCTGTGCTTGTTGGCTTTACAACACTATATGGAATTTTTTTTTAGTCTAATCTGATTTATTTTCACAATTTTTCTATTTATTTATTTTTTCACTCTTT